TAAACCTTGTCATGCAGGACTGGAAACAACCACAGACATCATTACACTTAGTATCGTTTCCAAAACAATGTCAAATGTTACCACTTTCTCTTTTGTCAACTTTTCCGCAAATGCACAGTTAAGTAATACATCGCTTTGAAGTCAGGGTTTTCGAGAGATTTTTTTGCAAAGCGTGGGTTTTCTGTGATTTTGTAATCAGATATTTTTGTTGACCCTGAGGGAAAAAATATCTGCAAAAAATCATCTCATCAATGATTCAAACAAATATAAATTTATATATGTTCCGAGGTGAATTTCTAACAAAAAAAAAATGGGGGAGTTCTGGGTTTCTAATTTTTTTCCTGTGAAAGTGCCTGACAGGGAATAGTTACAATGAAATAGAACACCAAATGAAACAAATGAATTAAAAATGAACGAAACAATGAAACATGACACAGGATCAATTATAGCATCATTTGATTGAATTTATTAAAACAAAAACTGGAAAAACGTAAAATAAAGTTGTTTTGAAACACTGTATAAATAACAACTCTATGATCGCATATTGTCTCTTTAAATTATGATCTTAAAACTAAATTACTAGTAATATTACTACCAGTTTTGCTCCTTTTTTTTCCAGTAGATTCTTTCAGAGAAACCATCCCAACGGATGAATTTGAAGGTCCAGATATGCATTTTTCCAGTCGGGACAGACAATGATTCTCTTCACCTCCATCATGATGCCACTGGAAAACCCAGATTTCTTTACCAGAGTTCTGACACTTAGGATGCCGTTTTCGATGCCATTAGCATGGTGAATTTTGGGCAAGGTCCAAGCCACTCTAGGAGTGATGTCACGAAAATGAACACTGACTTTCTGTAAATTATCATTTGTGTCACAGACATGACCCGGCCATAAAAAAGCAGAAGATAGCAATGCCTCTTTTATAATTTTTTCTAATATTTCTTTCATCTCACACTCCTTCCTTCTTGGGTCTGATAGTCCAGTGCAGCTATCGGAGGTTTAATAGGGTGCGATTTGAACTTGGTTGGGTCCTCACTGGTAAGACCCATTTTCTTTTTCTTAGCACTTTATTGAATGTTCCATTATTGTCTTTACTTTCGCTTTCATTGTCAGCTATACAAAATTAAATCACATGCCCTCTATCCAAGGCAACACATTGACAAAGTTATTAAAAAAACGACAAAATGAGTTCAAGGCGATAGTCTTGCCCTGGTCCCTGGCTGTAAGATTTGCCTCACATACAATGTTTTGATTTTTCCTTTCTGTTGTGCAGTGATACTCCTTAACCAGGCAGGAAAAGCAACAACATCTGCGCAAACTGCCTGTCTAAAATGCCGTCCAATACCAGGTATGATCAGTAACAATTCCATTGGATGTATCTTCATTTCTACCCTTTCTGTTGTTGAAGGCAGACAAACAATGTTCCTCCAGGAAGTGATCCAGAATCAACTCAAATTGGTCAGATCCAGCGACTGCAGAGCAGCAGACATTATGATGACACAATGGATGAAAAAATAAGTGAAGAGAGGCTCAATCACCTGGGAAAGCATAGAGAGAGGACAATTGCCTCTGGTCAGTGCCAACTCGAAATGCAACCTCTCCATTAAACGTGTGGACTAGTTCCATATCGCTCAATCCTGCAACTTCTCTCATGATTTTGGTCACACATGGCACGTTGAGCCATGTCCAGACTTACTGGACCCACTGTCATATTTTCTTGCCCTCTCATTGGTTCTCCCCCAGTCAACATTTCAGGTGACACTGGATTCATCAATGACGTGGTGGGGATTTCGTTTATCGAGCCCAGCCAATCTCCAGTTGTATCTTGTTCACTGTCAAATCCATTAAACAGATCCTCTATATCACTTTCTCCGAACTCTATTGGATGAGCGAATCATAGTCAGCCTCAAGAATTACACTGTCTCACCTGGAAATCGGTGAGAGGACTTGGTTAATGGCCAAGTAAGGCCTCTTAGTTGTCAGGTTTTCTTGAGTTTCTTGAGACGCTTTCCCAGCTTAAGACCAAGATTTTTCGTGCCACTTTTAATAACAGTTTAAGAAAATTAGGAAACACTTTACTAAAGACCTCCACAAAGGAAAAGTGAAGACTTTGATAGCATGATAGTGATTGCATTTCTGGTTTGTGGTTGCAACCAGCTCGACACAAACAAAATGATGATGTGAGCAAAAAATACAAAATGCAAGTGAAATAAATGTGAAATGCGACAGAAAGTGTCAAGCCACACTCCATGGCATTTCTCTCACAATAGTCAGGGACAGTGCATAAAAAATGATATGATGACATGTCCATGCTCTGTTTAAGTCACTACCTACTTAGTATTGTCGAAAATACCAACTCATGCTCAATGCTATTCAATGAATTACAACCAAGTAATGATATTGCTCAACAACATTTCTCTACAGTTCCTTCATAACACTTGGTTAGCTGTGGAGCCATGGCATTTCTCTCACAATAGTCAGGGACAGAGCATAAAAAATGATATGTCGATGCTCTTTTTAAGTCACTACCTACTTAGCATTGTTGAAAATACCAACTGATGCTCAATGATACTCAATGAATTATAAACAAGTAATGATATTGCTCAACAACATTTCTCTGCAGTTCCTTCATAACAGTTGGTTAGCTGTAGAGTAAAGAACACTTTTTTCTAGGGTTGTGATTATGTAACTGAAAATCTCTTTCCAGCCATGTTGATTTTTTTTCCAGTAATTATTGATAGAGTGCCAAGTGGAAAATTGGTAAGATAAAAAACGTGAACTCATAAACTGAAGAAACAGTGAAGATTTAGAGTATGTTGGTGAAATTACGATAGTCTCCAATACATGAATGCAAGTGTAAATGAACTTGAAACGACTGGGAAAGAGTAGTGAAGCTACAGGACTGAGGATGAGCATTGACAAAACAGGAGTTGTGAGACTTCATCCTAGCCAAGAAAATCCCATGAAAATAACTGGCACTGATGTTTAGGACACAGCTATGTCTGTTTCGGAGCCACTCTTAACAATTTGGGTGGTGTAGTGAAATCAGTTGAGTAGAAGAATCAACAAACAGTGGTGATCAGAGGCCATGGGCCAAGACAAGTGAAGTAAAATATAATGCAATATACAAACATACATGCATACATACATTTGTTGTTGCTCCCTAAAATGGGCTTTGCAGCAGCAATGTTCCAAATTATTAATTTACTATTATTTAATAATTGGAATAAATAAATGAATACATAAATAAATCAATCAATAAATAGTCATCTCCATGGTCTGCTTTCCCTGCGAATTAGTTTTCACTTTTCCTTCCTTTTTTTGATAGATTTCAAAAGCTGAACTTTTCCCTGCATTTTTTCTTTGAGACACTTTGAGACTGTGCCATGGCTTCTTCTTTGAACTCTTGGAGAACCACTTTCTCTCCATGAGCAGACACTGCAGTAGACAAGGGGACAAATGTTTGACATTCAGATTTGGACACCAGACTCCCATCGTTGGCAGTAGTGGGTTGAGGTCACTGCTGCGATCATCGCACATCTATGGCTTTGGGATGTTCTGGCGTTTCAGGCACAGCCGTGCCGTGGTTGCCGTCCAAATTGCATCTTTTCCGCTCCAATTGGGTTCAAGACGACTGCAAATCTTCATCATCATCTTTGTTGTCACTCTTGAAAGGGGCCTTTTCCACTTTGTAGATACAGATTTTGAGGTATCTTTTCGTTCTCGAACAGGACTTACACCTTCTCATGCAGGACTGGAAACAACCACAGACCTCATTGCACTTAGCATCTTTTCCAAAACAGTGACAAGTGTTACCACTTTCTCTTTTGTCAACTTTTCCGCAAATGCATAGTTAAGTAATATATTGCTTTGAAGTCAGGGTTTTTAAGAGATTTTTTGCAAAGCGTGGGTTTTCCATGATTTTGTAATCAGATATTTTTGTTGATCCTGAGGGAATCAATGATTCAAACAAATATAAATTTATATACATTCTGAGCTGAATTTCTAGCGAAAGAAAACATTGTTGGGAAGCGTAGTGTTTCTAATTTTTTTCCTGTGAAAGTGCCTGACAGGGAATAGTTACAATGAAATAGAACACCAAATGAAACAAATGAATTAAAAATCAATGAAACAATGAAACATGACACAGGAACAATTATAGCATCATTTGTACTTGCTAATGTATTGAATTTATTAACAGAAAAACTGCAAAAACATAAAATAAAGTTGTTTTGAAACACTTTATAAATAACAACTCTATGATCGAATATTGTCTCTTTAAATTATGATCTTATAAATTACTAGTAATATTACCACTAGTTTTGTTCCTTTTTTCCCAATAGATTAGTTCGGATGAGAAACCATCCGAACTGACGAATTTGAAGGTCCAGATATGCATTTTTCCAGTTGGGAAAGGCAACGATTCTCTTCACCTCCATCGTGATGCCACTGGAAAACCCAGATTTCTTTAGCAGAGTTCTGACGCTTAACATGCCATTTTTGATGCCATTAGGACAGTGAATTTTGGGCAAGGTCCAAGCCACTCTGAGTGATATCACAAAAATGAACACTGACATTCTGTAAATTATTATTTGTGTCGCAGACGTGACCTGGCCAGAAAAATTCAGAAGATGGCAATGCCTCTTTTATAATTTTTTCTGATATTTCTTTCATCTCACACTCCTTCCTTCTTGGGTCTGATAGTCCAATGCAGCTATGGGAGGTTTGAGGGCACGACTTGATCTCGGTTGGGTCCTCACTGGTAAGACCCACTTTCTTTTTCTTAGCACTATCGAATGTTCCATTATTGTCTTTACTTTCGCTTTCATTGTCAGCTATACAAAATTAAATCACATGCCCTCTATCCAAGGCAATACATTGACAAAGTTATTAAAAAAATGAGAAAATGATTCCAAGTCGATAGTGTTGCGCTGGTCCCTGGCTGTAAGATTTGCCTCTCATACAATTGTTTTGATTTTTCCTTTGTGTTGTGCAGTGATACTCCTTACCCAGGCAGGAAAAGCAACAACATCAGTGCAAACTGCCTGTCTAAAATGCTGTCCAATATCAGGTATGATCAGTAACAATTCCATTGGATGTATCTTCATTTCTACCCTTTCTGTTGTCAAAGGCAGACAAACAATGTTCTTCCAGGAAGTGATCCAGAATTTTCTAATTTTGTACTTTTTTATTGTTCTATCATTCTATTGGCTAATTTGTGCACTATATGCACCTCACAAACGAAAAAAGGCAGCATTCACTAGCTATTAGGTAGACTAGTTTAATACCTCCAAATACAAGGATCAGTTTTCCTTTGCGTTTCCAGTAGGTATCTTATGAACAAAATGGTTCAAACCTAATATGTCTAGTTATGAAAGGACAACCCAGCACTGCAAATTCAATCATGCTGCCACCAGTTTCAGATAGGGGTAATGAAATGCATAAGACTCAAAGAAATTAAGTTATAGTCTACTCACTCTGTGATGTTGAGCTAGTAATATTTCAACATTTTTGAGGTTTCCTTCTCTGTTAAAATGTTACTTGGAAGGACAACATTAATAAAATCCATGTCCTTTTCATCTGGAAAACACAATTTTACAGGAATCCAATTTCCTATGATACTTCTTTTGAAATGCCGTTATGTTTAAGCTTTTTCCTGAGACATTCTTGCTTTGCCCAGCAATTAACAGCTTTGAATAACATCACACCTTTGATGTTTAGATTTCTTTCAATGAATTCGTCAAGTAACGATCTTTCGATTGTCAAAAAATTGTCTTAGTTCAATACCTCCTTTGTTTCTTTGTGGATCAACTCCCAACAGGCACAAAAATGTTTATCAAGTCTGTTTAGTCAGGCGTGTTTTAAAACACAGAGAACTTGCATAATGGTGCCACCAGTAAAGCAAACTTGATTGGTGTAGATGAAACAGAAAAACTCTAAAAGGCTTTGATACTGACAGTCTGGCAAATGATTTTATTTCTCTCTGCTTTTGCCATCTTTCCACAAAACATTATAAAAACGCTGGGCTCCTAATCATCAGCAAAGGACTTGTGTGCTTGAATATATATAGTGGGGCCACTGCATGGTTCAGTTTCATTGTTGTGACTTTGGGACGCTTGAACAGCAAATGTAACATCACTTAACGTCTGGTTGTTAAACATGAATTTGATACTTTCTCTAAAAGCGTCTGGCCAAACGCCGGCAGATATGATGGCAGAGTAACAACAGTTAGGTGCCATGAAGAACAAAAGAGAATTGCTGTTTCAATTTTCGATCCCAGGGGGCCCCTCAGTCATTGCTGGCAAACCACAAAATTTCCGTCCATTTTCTTGCAGCCCTGTTAAAGAGGTCCACATAACGTGACGCAAGACTTTTATGCAATGCTTGGCATCTGTTATTCTAAAACATTCTACAATAGTACCATTTAATACTATTCAACATTGAATATGTTGTTGAACACTAATGTAATTGTTAGATGTATTTAGAACTGACTGCATTTCCTGTGATTTTGCTATTGTCGCAAACCGCCTGGGAAAAGAACTTTTAGTTCGCTTGTGGTCAAAAGTATACATTCCATGCATGCATGGCCATGATGACACTATTCATAACGTAGCTTCTTAAAGACTCACAAGAGCCACAATTTAAAGAATCATTTGCTTAAAAAACTTTGAATTACCACGTAGAAAGAAAAGGAATGTCAGAATCAACTAGACTGCCTCATATTTGTCATGTTTTATAACTTCAACCAGAATTATCCGACTCTGTGTGCAAAACAGTTCAGACAGGATGATGCCTTGTTAATATGGATGCTCATATCTAGGACCGAGAAACACTGTTCATGGAATTTTTCTATCAGAAGACGATCTTATGAAGAAAGAAATACTACTCCTCATGTCCAACAATCCCCATCACTATCTGGTGGATCCCTTTTACAAAGTTTACATCCCTGAGAAAAATAACCTTGACGCTTCTACTCTCCAAAAGAGAAATGATCATTATCAGGCCACCTATCTGTGCTGCTTAACATTCTTTCTAATAATTTTTTTAGATGTTAAGGCCAGGATTCATCACCATCAATAAATTTTAACTGCAAAAACTTAACTAGTCTTTCATACATCCATTCCCACTTCGCTATATAATGCGTAAAGTACAGAACTGGAATTAGATCATAATCATCATAATAACTGCCCTCATTATAATGCGTGTTACGACACTTTCTTCCCATTTCACTACACTTAGAACAACTTAATTCAAAATCGCAAATACTGTGTTCTGATCAATTAGTAAATAATGGCACATTCTATCAAAAGGTATTATGGTAAACTCTGGTTTATATGTATGTTTTTTATCCACAGGAATAAGGTGGTTTTTGCTTACAATTTCTTTGCAAAAATAAAATCCCAAAAACTCCTTGACCTCTGGAGATCAATATATCTTCAAGTCCCCACAAACTCCCAACATAAACCCAATGTCCCAATCTGTGTAGCCACTTACCATTGAGATAAATTTCTGTCAATGTTTTTCCCACAAACTTGCTTGTTTCACCTTGATCTACTGTGAGGAGAAGTTTGCTAACTTTAGCAATTTCAATGGTTGATTCGTGAAGCCTCTAAGAGTACCAATGCACTTTAATATTGTGGCCCAGGTGCCTTGCTAGCCAATCTACATCTGTTTCTTTTAGAGAAAGTACTTGAGAAATGGTAGCTATGTGTTACCTCAGCTTGGTACTTGTAATAGCTGCTAGGTTTGACAAAAATGTTTCACAATGTGTTGTGAATTTCCTGAGGCAATCACACGCTCACATGTGATCTACTGATTGTCTGCTTGGTCTGGCAAATACATACGGATTTTTGTCCGGAATGCCAACATCCTTCCTCGTCTTGATGAGAAGATTGACACTGCTGGTCATCTCTGTGGTCAAAATGACGCACCTTTCTGCCTCTCTTGCCATGTATTTCAACCACGTCGAGTCTGTTTTAACAACATTTTATTAAATGGAGAAAACTTGTTGAAGTACTGACCCAGGAAGAGGTGGTGGTGGAAAGGATTTAAAAAAGATACAAATGGGTGAATAAACAAGTATGTTTCTGTTTCTGTTCCTTTAGCAGCTTATAATATGTCCTGTCTAATTATATGTATCAATAAATTTGTTAATTTTGATAATTATTTTTTAATAATAATAATAATAATAATAATAATCAATATTTAAACAGGGTGACCCCTTCAGTCGCAGGACTGGTATCAACGGGGGCCCTGTATAACGT